CCATTTAAATTATCTATAGATACACAATCATTCAAGCTATTATCGCTATTATAATCACTTTCAAGGCTGCTAGAAATATGAAAATCCTATTTATAAAATCGCTGGTTAATTTTTTTTAATTATTTGTAAACAAATACCAAACCACAATAACATCAAAATAATACTTCATAATATTGAATAAATGAATTAGACATTGATTCCTTTAATACAATATAATCTTATTATTATACAATTAATTTATCATTATAATTATTAGTAAAATAAAAAAATTACTAACACTGGCTCATTGTCTGTATCGGATATCACAATTACTTCGGGTTGTTTCAACATATTGTTGTTTCTTGAATTTGTATTGAACATATTAATATCGATATTTAATTATTTCTTAAAAACATTGATAAAAAAAGTTTAGATTTGCAATTTGCATTTTTTTATCGATCATATTATATCATCGATTTTAATTAATCATTCAATGCTAAATAAGTATTTATTGGTTATACGTGCATGATATACATGTGTACGTATGTACATAGATACACATGAATTAGTAACGATAATCACTGTACAGTTTATATGGTACCAACCAAACTACCAAACCGTACTGAATGTATGTATACTCATTTTTGACCTGTGATACATTCATGAAATCATCCTTGTTTTTACCTGTTTGTTCACGTTTCTGCTTGCATTGTTGTAGTGTTTAGATCTGTTGAACAAATCCGTTGAATAATCCGATGGGATATCCACTATTTTAATCCAGTGGATATCCATCAGATTATCTGAAATTGATATAATTATAGTGATGAATTTAATTTAAAGTCTATTTTGATAGATCACTTATGTAATTAAAAAATAAATAAAACTAGATTTGATTGATGTGTAGTTCAACTTTTACTTTGTTATCTTATAAAGCTTGCTCTGTGTATCATATATCTCCATATTACTTACTTACTTTAATAGAAATAGAGAATAATGAAGGATATTTACCGCCTAGTGAAAGTTCTAACAAAGATCCTAATAGAGCTTTTTTAATGGATATTACAATTACGATGAACAATAATAAATCTAAAGAACCTAAAAAAAGAGGAGGATCAAGAAAAAGAAGTTGGATATGGAATCATATTAGAGAATTATCTACTGATAATAGATCCAAAGGTCAGTGCAAAAAAACTAAAGAAAAATGAAGATATAGCACTTGGTCTATTTAGTTTTTCTCTATATAATCATTTATATAAATTATTTAATAAAGATATAACCAAGGCTTTATCTTTAACCCCCCAAAAAAATTAATAACTTATAACAGACTAGCATATGCTTGTATTATTTTACTAAAAGAAAAATTAGGGCACTAATGATGCTTTAATTTTTTGAAAATTTGATATTAATATTAGATTTTAAAAATTGTTTTTATAGTTTAATAATTTGATTAATAATAGTATTTAAATGTGGTAATTTGTATATATTGTAAAAAGATTATAAATAATATAAGCAAAAGTGAGCATAACTAGCACTCTGTTATGTTAATTTCTAATAATTTTTATAATAGTTTATCAATAGTATCTATTAGATTGTATATTTATAATTGTCTAGAGTATAGCAACAAACTTTTAGTATTTATACATGGTAATATAAAAGTTACTAGTGTATGACCTGTGTCTCTGGCATAGTAATAAATAATTGTAAAATTGAAGTATCTATAATATATTAAGGAACTAAAGAGTAATAAACCATATATAGAGCTCTTACCCGGGTCAGATATTGATCTGGGTTATAACCCAGGTCAACAGGTCAAATGGAAATTCATAAAGTTTTTGAAGTTAATTCTTAAAATTGATGCAATAATACTTAATTAGAGCTGTTAGTACAGAGAACAGCTGTACTCCAATTATTTAAATTAGAATTTTTTGAATTTTGTATTGAAAAAATTTTTCAATCTTGCTTGTGATTTGAGTTCGTCTATTTTCTACACTGGGAAATTCATAACCTGACCCAGATAAGATCTTTACTTTTTTTTTTTTCCTTTGATAACCTCATACTAATTTATTAGACCTTTAGCAATTTACAATTAAAATTAACTATCTAATTTATGTATTAGGCAAATACCTAGCTGCTATAAAAGTGCCCAAGTATGGTTATTGCACTGATGTTGCCAACAAGCTCCAAATACAATAATACTCATATTTAAAAACCTGCTATAGCTTGGTACTCAGCTACCTATGTTCAAACCAATTATATTTTACCTTTCTTCTAGACTTATTCCACTAATGTTCGAGCAGAATATATTTTCTCCTACTTCTGTATAGCGCAAACATATATGCCAATTTACAAAAGAAAGACTTCTTTTAAGAGCCAATCCCTTCTTTCGAGTTATCTTACTTTAAATTTTGGTAATATCTTCCCGAACTCAATCCACTTAAATCTCAGCAGATTATATATATTACCTCCTACTTCTAAATAAGACTAACATATATACCAATATTATGAAGGAAGATACATTTAAAAAAACTCTCTAAAAGCTCCCTCATAACTAAAAAAAAATAGAAATTGGTCTAAAAAAGAAAACAGAAACAAAAGAAAAAATGAAACAAATAGAAAAAAAGGAAAAGAGAACCTAAACCGATTCTAATATAAATAAAAAAAGATGAAATAAGCAGAAAAAAGACAAAATTAAGCGATCTAAATACACTATTATAACCCATGCCAGGTGATTTAAAAATTATATACCAGATGCAATATCTGTATATCTCTGTTGTAAGTCTAAGCTTAACTTTAAAATTTCCTCTGACCCAATTCTGAATCTTTTTAATAACCTAAACTATATCTCAAACCAAATGCTGCTGCAGTACTAGGATCTGACTCTCCATATACGGCGCCAATGACGACAAGGACGCGATATTTCTGTAAAGGCGCCATCACTCGGGTACTCGTATCTCAAGCCACTTGGTGCCGCCACCAGGAATTTCTTTTTTGACCAGGACTCGTTTCAGGGCCTGTACAATGTATTCATCTTCAAACATGTGGTTGCTATCTATTGGTCCATCTGGATTTGGTAAGTAAACAATGCCGATCTTTTGGAGGGGATAAGCCAAATCTCCCACTTTTTATAAAAAAATTTTTGGAGACCGACGGAAAAACGACGAGAGGTAGAGAGGGACTACTTGAGCTTCAAATCAATTTAAAAGAGTGTGAGTTTTCTTTTCTACAGTCAAGACCCACTGCCCAACACCTGTTCAACCTTTTTTCTGATGAGTGATAAACTCTAGGCTTGTCGGCAAGTAGCGTATGAGAACTACCTCTAAATGACAAGTGCCGAAACTATGCAGTGCTGTTTGCAAGTAGCATATGAGAACTACTTCTAAATGACAGGTGCTGTCTTATTGTCTAGGTTTTTAGATCAAGTGCCAGCTTGTAAGATCTTTTCTTGCGGTAAAATCTTTTTTGGAAAATATGGTTCAAGTGATCGTCGGAAAGAGTTCCTACTTTATATTTTATATTATCTAGCTTTATATTATTAACTTGTATTTTATATTAGATATTTATTATTTATTATTTTTGTATTACATACTATATTATTATTATTATTTTAACAAAAACTTTATTAATTGCTGATCCAGATAAAATCGGCACAAATTTACTATACAAATTTGGGGTAAATTTGTCAAATTTTATATGAAACGATAAAGAATACACGAAAATACTAAAAAGGCAAAGTACAATAAAATCATCAAAAGCAAGTT